ACAGTTTATGTTGAAAGTGATGCAAGGAATGTTGTTTGTCAACTGAGAGCCAACCGGTTAGATTTGTGCACAGTTGGTTTTTATCTTGCTGAAGCCAAATCTTTGCTCCGAGGTAATCCTGACTATTTTCGGCGAATTTAGCCGTTCACTCTCTCGCATTGTTTGCTCTTTCGATTCCTTCGTCTTTATTTTATAGTTATGAACCACCTGAATGTATTGCAAAATTGTTGTTGCTAATGCCATTAGCGGCTAATCAATCGAATGGTTGTTTATTTCAAGAAAAGAAAAGAAACATGCGTGTAATTTTCAAAAATTTTCCTATTATTTTTTAATTGGGGAGTTTAGTATATTAAATTGTGTGTAATCGTATTTTACTAGCTCTACGTATTTAAAAATTAATTAATGTTTTTTATAATTACAAAAAAAATATCAAGTCACTGCCTTAACAATTACACTATCTTTCAGTTACTTCTTATGTCTACACACACTCAAAATAAGAAAGAAAAAAGGACACGTTTTTAAAATACTTTTCCACCGTCAAGAGAAAAATGCAATAAATTGAAGAAGAGAAAACCTATATACGAAAAGAACAGTTCACCTTCCTTTTTCATTATTTATTTTATTTCGCAAACAGTACAATTTATGCACGAAATAATTTATTCAAACATAAGCAAAACACGAAAGAGCAGCCAACAAGTGACATTGCATCTCACCTTCCAAGCTCCCAACTCTTTCTTTCCATACGTTTTGGCCCTTTAATTCTCAGTTTTCTATTTTGTTTTGTCAAATTCTGATCGAGGGCTTCGAGATCTCTCAAGATCTGCAGCCTCTCTTGCCTGTCGCTTCCCGTAACTCTACTCAGGTAATTTTCTCCTTTTTGTGTTACCAATTCTGAGATGCCGCCTTAAATCATCTTTTTTGTTATTTGTGAGAATGAAAATTGATTTTATGCTGTTGATTTATTGTTAGTTTGGTTAGTTAGGTGCAGGCACTGGTGGGGATGATAAAATGCAGTGTTTGCCATTCAAAAATGGCACCGCCCGGTACTAAAACCGTTTCAAGGGCTTACGATACGCATCGCAGCTATGTGTCCTCCAAAAATCGTCTCCTCAACGTTCTTTTGGTCGGTGGGGACTGCATTTTGGTCGGTTTTCAGGTAAATTCTTTGTTTCTAACCATCAAATCTAAATCGGTAATCTGGATGCGAGATTTCTTTGCGTTCTAACACCATACATTTATATTATTGCAGCCTATATTGGTTTATATGTCAAAGGTGGATGGAGGTTTCAAGTTTAGTCCCATTAGCGTTAACTTTCTTACCGAGTTGGCTAAAGTTGTTTTCGCCATTATTATGCTTTTGTTTCAGGTACCTTTTTAGCATTTTATTAACTGTCAACTAGAATAGGTGAGGGTTTATACCATTTGCCTAAAGTGGAGTTCAAAAACTCAACAAAAAGGTTTATATGCTTGTCATGTGTTTGTTTAGCTATAAGCATGTTATAACATATACCTCCAATAAGGAACTCTCTTGTCCCCATGGTGTTGTTTTATCAATCAAGTCATAGTTGTACCTGTTGAATTTAAGATTAAATTATTTTTTTTATTAGGTTAGACAGACCAAAGAAATGTCAAATGTCTCTCTGTTACAACTTATCAAAATAATTCGGGAAAATAGAGCTTGACTGTACCCAATATAAGATGCCCTTATACAGGGCAATTGTTGAATTTGGTTTCCGCGAACAAAGCAAAGTACTTATATGATATAAAGGTGTCAGAAGCACCATAAGATGGTGCCCATATCCCACTAAAGTCGGTCCTCTTTTTTAACTGTTCAATCAAAATTCCTTCATGCATGAAAATCTGTGTTAAAAATATCTTTGTTCGTGAAACTTGAGAAGTATAAGAGAGGGGGTGTTAAAAAATTCATCAATTATTTTTTGTAAATTGTTCTGTATCTGATTCGTAAATTAATTTTTGTGGGGATATCCTGACATGCTGGAACAAGTAGATTATGTTCGTATCCATGTATTATCTGATATTCTAGAAGTGTGTAAGAGATCAGCTGCATTAGTTCTGGAAGTTAGAGGGATTGCTAAAGTAAATATGCTTTTTCTCATGGTCTACAGCGTTAGGAAAAGTTACTAAGCCTAGCCTGTAGAAGCTCAATGGGCTTGCTATTAGTTTTCAGCCGTAACAGGAAAAATTGCATTTCAAAGATTAATGGAAGTCCAATCGCATTGATTATTACACTAAATGTTATTTCAGATTCTTTTTACTAAATTCTTTCATTAGGTTTTAACTGTTGTACTTATTTAATTCTCTCTCTCTCTGAAGGCTCGGAATAAGAAAGTAGGGGAGAAATCTCTCCTCTCAATTTCTTCGTTAGTGCAGGTAAGAACTTTACTTCCACAAATGTATGATTCTAATTGCAATTCTATTATTAGTTTTGTATCACTAATTTCACTATTGATTCTTGAGTTGATGGTTTTATGATGCATTCCAATAGCTTTTGATAAAGAATGAAAAACTTGTAGACTATTCTAAGAGGCAACCGTTGGGCTAATTAGAGGCTTGACTGTTAGTTTCATTAAGTTTCTTCTATTGGTAGGGGCTGATTTTGTCTGGAGTGCTAAACTGTGAGACTGGTCAAGAAGCTGACTTAACCATATATGCTCTGTGGTAGATAACAATAGCAATTCATTGTAATCTTAGTTGACACTTTTAAGATATTTTGGGTCTTAAAGGGGGAGAAATTAGAAGAATTCCAGTTATTAAGAAGCCATGCTGAAAGTAGATAAAACAAGTCAGTGAAATGTTTTTAGTTTCACGTAGCTGTGGCTTTTTTTATTGATTTTCTTGGTCTTGTGCAGTAGATTTGGTCAGACACAGTTATGCAATGTGCAACTTTAATGAGACTAATGGTAGATGAGTGAAGATATATTGTTAGTATTCTTTTATTTTGAGTGGCAGTTTTCTTTATTCTTCCTTTGGTTTATTAATAGTTGATATAATTTTAACTTTCTATTCATATTATGGGTTTTCTGAAAAAGATGCTGCCAATTAAGTATCTTATTCGGTTCATAAAAATGTGTTTGGATTGCATTCTGTAAACTAATATATCTGTGCTAATATCAGTGTGGTGTCATTTTGGTCTTGCAAAACCGTCTTAATGTGACATGAAGTCTTTTTTGGAACTTTTAGCTCATTTCCCCCTTTTATATTGTTTTGCACTGAGTCTACTCTGAAATGGTATGAACCATAGTAATATATCAACATCTTTTTGACCTCAAGGTGTCTTTTCCTTTGTTCCAAAATTTTACAGGCTGCTCGAAATAATGTGCTTCTTGCAGTTCCAGCTCTACTTTACGCTATTAACAATTACCTAAAGTTCATCATGCAGGTGGTGTTTTCTTAATGATCTTTCCGCTTGTTCTTTGTCACCTGTTTAATTTCAGTTACTTAAAAATTACCTGATTCTGTAGAATTTTGATTAATAGAATTTAACTATGTGCTGTGTTTCCGTTAAACTATTTATCCACAGCAAAAAATTCTTTTTAATATTCTTTTGTGAAGTAATTGTTTTCTAATATTTATGCCATTATTCCCCTGCAGCTTTATTTCAATCCTGCTACTGTGAAGATGCTTAGTAACCTAAAGGTAGAATAATACATTTTGTTTAATGATTGTTTAAATAGTATAGGTTCTAAGCAATCTCCTTTCTGCTCTAAATAAATACATTTTGAGTTAGTTTATGCTTTAAACCCGTTTCCGTTTGATTATTCATCACGTATTTGTTACCATCACAATCAATGAGTGCGATGAATCCTAAAACCTAAATATAATTAGTTTAGGATTCATTCTATCTAGAAGTTTAATGCATTTGTGAAAACTAACTTTAGACTACTGTGAATCATTGGAAAATTTGAGTACTATGCACATGATCATGCCTTTTCTTTTGGTTTTCCTGTGAGAATTCTTAGTGAATCTGTTTCAGTACTGTCCAACTTATGCAGGTTTTGGTAATAGCTATCTTGTTAAAGATGATCATGAAACGGCGGTTTTCTATTATTCAGGTTAGTTTGAACAGAAAGATTTTTCTCATTGAACTGTATCACAGTCAATTATCCAGAAACTGAAAGCAAATATGTGGACATTTGGACTGGTTAATTGGTTATAGTTTATCCATATTGCATGTATGGTGCGGATCCATGTTTGTAACAGTGGGAGGCTCTTGCTCTGTTGCTCATTGGAATTAGCATAAACCAGTTGCGGTCTTTTCCAGAGGGTACAACATCACTTGGTGTTCCGATTGCAACAGGCGCATACTTGTACACTCTTATATTTGTAAGTTGTTAAAATAGTTGCTGCACATTGATGTGACAACTTTTTGAACTGTTTCTTTCAAAGGGTTATATCTTGCAATGATGTTATACTGTAGGGCTAAGTAAGGGGAAAATCAATTATTAAGTTTACAGCTTTTACAGTATTTGTTTACCATTGTACTTGTTAAGGAGTTACCTTGACCAAAAAGCGTTCAACACACACCATATTTTACAACTACATCACTATCTCTTAGATATTATATGATAACTAATCCAGTTATTAGGTTTGAGCTCAAGTAGATTTACAAACAAATCTCATAATGTACTATGCAGACTTGCAAAATCAGCTATCTAAATATACATCTAGTTATATCTTGATGCTAAAATTGTTCAATTCAAGTTTCTAAGCATATAGTGTAACAGTAATACTATGATAGTTTCTTAAAAAATCATGCTCCTTAATAATGTTAATTACCAATATCAATAGAAAGAGATGACCATCCAGCTCAGTTGGTAGAGCACAAGGTTCTTAACCTTGAGGTCGTGGGATCGAGTCCCATGGAGGGCATTTTATAATTTGGAGGTCTTCTACGGAAGCTGCTCTCAATCTAGTGTTGGGGGCAACCTACTATCTTACCTCCCCCTTACCCCATTACATATGGGAACAAGGGACATCCATCCATCCATCCAATAGAAAAAATAATAATAGAAACAGAATTAACAGGTAACTGGGTTATTTTGTGGGTTTGGACTTTTAGATTCAATAGATGCAGTTTAAGATAATAGGAATTCAGAACCAAAAAACTGATTAACTATTGCAGATATAAGTTCGGCAAGGGCTGTTAATAAGCAAAAACAGAGTGCTACTGCACGGTGAAAATACCTGGTGAAGAAAAACCCTCGTATGATCCAAATGATTTGGAAACACAAACTGGATGTGGTGAGATTGTTTTTTATTGTTCGTTTTAGAATAGCTTCCTGGTTTGTAGCAAAGTTCAAGGATGTTCATATCCCTTTAGACTCACTAGTGGGTGATCTAAAACTTGCTGACTTGGTGGGAAGACAGGGTAATGGTAACTCTACACCAAATTGTTGGGTTCCTCCTCCGGATGGGTTTTTAAAGCTTAATGTTGATGGAGCGATGGCAAAGGGTTGGGAGAAGGGAGGTATTGGTGGACTGATTAGGGACAGCAAAGGTATGGTGCTTCAATGTTTTTCAGAAAGAGTTGGGGGTGGTCCTCCTATCTTGGCAGAATTATTGGCGATTAAGAGGGGGTTATGTATTTTGGAAGATTTAAGTTTTGTTCTTAACCAAAGGTTTATTGTTGAATCAGATTCAAGCAATGCTCTGAAATGGATCAAGAGTCCGGGTTCATGCGCTCCTATGTTTCAATTATTGGTGAAGGATATAGTTCCTCTTATGGCAGGGAAGGATATCATTATCAAGCACATTTTGAGGGCTGCAAATTGGGAAGCTGACAAATTAGCTAAAGATGGGATACGGTGATGTTATGGTTTCTGTCTGTTTCGGTGGAGGTGTAGGAAATTTACTTCCTATGTTTAGCTGTTGTGTTTAAGTTTTATGTAATTACTGGTGGTGTTAGCAGATGTTCAGGGTCTGCCTTGGTTGTACTATTATTTAATCTAATAAATTTTTAGGCATTCTTTTCCTCCTTTCTTTCTCCTTCATGTTACTTTCATAACATGGAGGGTAAAAAGGGGTTTTTTAATGAGGCCTAATATTCTATAAAAAAACACAAACTGTGAAAAATAATGATAAAGTGGTGCGCTATTTTGCCAATTGTGCCCCTTTTATAAAGACACTGCTATAGCACAGTGTTAAATAATCTTTAGCTATATGTATAAGATTAATGTATCTATTATGCTGGGGACTATGACACAAGGAAACCTAACTCTATGACATTAATACAGGTTACTGTCCCATCTCTGGCATCTGTCTTTAATGAATATGCTTTAAAGAGCCAGTTTGAGACGAGCATTTACCATCAGGTACGTTTATAATGAATTTATTTGTTGTCCAGGCTCTTGCATTGATTCTTGATAACAGGTAGGGAAAAAATCTCAAGTAGTCTTACATGGCATGGATTGAGAGAATTAAAGTAATTTGCTGATGGTTAGGCAAATGTTTTTTTTTTATAGGAAGGTTAGGAAAATGGCTTAAAAAGAATGTTCTTTGACCATTAATTTGAATCCTCTATTTATTTTGCTTTATGTGTTTCACAGAACTTGTTTCTTTATGGGTATGGTGCAATTTTCAATTTCCTAGCAATTCTTGGAACTGCACTTTTTAAAGGTAAGAAGTAGACTTGTTATTTGATTTTTATTTGTTTAATCTAACCGTTGTATTCCATGTTCTATCCACATAGAACACGCATATTGGATTTAGAGTAAATTAAAAAATGTTTAACTATCTGTTCAAAGTAAAAAACTGTATTGTTAAATATATTTTGAGAAAATCAGTAGTCTCAATTTATATGATAGTGGTATCGGATCAATTCAGAACTTTATGTTAATGTCAAATAGAACAATATTGGTAAACTCAAGGGTTGCTTTATTAAGATATCAAGTGTAGACTAATTTAGTTCTACACTCTGTAATTGGGCCCCTCTTCTGTCTCCCTCTCTATATACATATATATTTGAACCGACATTTTTCTATTTAGAAGACATGTAAATTGCTCTAAGTGCACTCATAATCTTTTTATTGACTAGCTACTGTATTTCCATGACCTCCCTACTTTTAGGTCCCAGTAGCTTGGATATCATGCAGGGACATTCAAAGGCTACTATGCTTCTAATATGCAACAATGCAGCCCAAGGGATCTTATCATCGTTCTTCTTCAAATATGCAGGTATATTTAATACTAAAGTGTGCATGTATATATTACTGTAAGGTAATGCAGAAAAAAAAAAAGAAGAGAAAGGATTACTGAATAGCACTGAAGTTGATAAGACCTTCGGAAAATACTTGAGTTAGTGCATACCTACATGAGTTGAATGGTTTTAAAAGGTTGAACAGGAGGTACCAACATTGAGTTTAAGGTTTTGCTGTCCTTCATGCCTTTATGATCATATGCAACAAACTAAATCATACTCTAATTTGAACTGTTTTTTGTTTCTGTTTGTTTGTAGAGAAAGTAATTCCTGCTGACATCATAGCCTAAATAGCTACCATAATTGCTTGAAAACTCTTTGGGAAATTTACAATATCAATTATGTCTGTCATAGATGCATGTACATGTATAAAGGGATATGGACGGCAGGTGCTAATCTCCTAAAGGAAGCTTTTACCCCCAAAAAAATCATAGGGAAATTATTCCTTTGGTCATCCAGATATTTTGGGTAGAGGGATAGGACAAGGTTCCTGATGTGGACTTTTGGAGAACCACATGCCAAAAGTCAGCTGTTGAAGTTGGTTTCCACAAGGAAATCCTTATTTTTCATGGCTAAAGAAAACACCCATAATTTAAATTACTGTTATGCAATTTGTCTCCTAAAAACGAAGAAAAAAAACCACTTTTGGGTAGATGTTAAACTATGCCGTAGTATTATCGTACAACATATTGCCTTTGACTACCCTTCTAAAATTTGTCAAATCACTTGCATTATTAGTGGCACTATATTTTATTTTTCTTTTACTATCTATAGGTTTCTCATACTGTTTGTATTTTGTCTTCTCAAGTAAGGTTCCTTTTTCTTGCAGATACAATCTTGAAAAAGTACTCCTCAACAATTGCCACAATTTTCACTGGCATAGCATCTGCTATTTTGTTTGGTCACACCCTGACCATAAACTTTGTTTTAGGAATATCAGTTGTGATTATCTCCATGCATCAGGTGATTTTAGCTTATATAGGTGCTCATATATTGTCAATGCTGTCCAGTAAAGCACACAGAAACGTGCACCTATTTATTTTTCAATGCTCCTACCATGTTGTACTTCCCTTCTCTGCTATTTTGAGATAGGGAGAGCCTGCTTATAATTGTGCTGTATACTTTATTCCTTTCAGTTTTTTTCATCACTTTCAAAGGTTAAAGATGAAAAACAAAGTGGTAGTTTGGAGATGGTGGATGGCCAAGACATCAAGAGGTATACTTTTTTCTTGTATGCTATTTTTGTGGACCATGTTAAAACTGTTCTATTCTTGGATGTTGATAATGGCAATAACTGGAGTGTGTGCGTGTGTGTGTTGGGGGGGGGGGATTCAGAGGGAGAGCGAAGGCATCAAACATAATATTTTTGTTGCTGAATTTCATTCCTGCTCTATCGTGTAAAAGAATACAACAGAAACCTTCAGTCTAGGTTCATCGCTTTTTTCCCAGTAAAAGCAGATCTCTTTTTATGTGTTTCTCAGCACACCAGATCTTGTTTTAACCTCAGTTTCCCCAATACTGTAGTTCTTTGATTCACTGTAAACCAAAGATGCTAACTTCCCGATGTATATTATCAGGTCTAAGGATGCATTGTTGCTAAATATGACTGCTGGAGCCAATGAAGAGGTGAGAGCTTTCACTGGCAGTTTTCTATTAAATATGTTGATTTTTTTTTCTCTTTGTTTTTTTATCCGTATTTACGATATGCAATGTTTTTCTATTTTAAAAATTCTCCAGGCTAGTCATCGTGTTCATGAAGAAGAAAAAAGACAGCTTCTTCCCATTTAAGTTCCACATAATTGGTATGGATAATGGTTATGTGCCGACTCTTTTATCTGTGCCGGCTTTTCCTGTCTAAAACTCATGGTTCCTTCCTTTTTTGTGCTATTAAAAAATAACACGACCAACTCTTCTCTTGTCCCCAATGGTTAGGTGCTTGTCACTCTAACCTCGACAAGGTTCGAGAGTTGGTAACCATTGAAGAATAAATAACATGAGGCTTCAAATAAAAGAAACTTCGCATGTACCTACATGGATCTTGTTCGAAACTTAGAGGGGGTTTTATAATATTAGAAAAATAGAGATTGTAACTGAGGGTGTTGGGCTGAGGTTGGGTTATTAGGTCAGGTTTTATTTGTTCCCTTTTAGAGTGGAATTGATGTCCGGATTGCATCAGGGTTCAAGCAGGTTGGGTGAGTTATATTGGTCAGTCAAGTTTGTTAGGACATGATCATTTAAGTTTGATATTTATGCCTTTAAATGTAAATAATGTTCGGAAATGTTTTGATTTCAGGAACAGTTTTGGAGTAATACATTCTTTTTAGGCGGAGTCAGATGGAGAAAAGAAAAATACTAGTTTTAGTTACTGAACAGAATAAATGCCATCTAAATGGTTCTTCACAGTTCATAACTTCATTCATCTCTTCATGCACGCATAGTTAATGAAACAAAGTGAGCTGCTGGCTGCATCTTCTATAGAAGAAAAGTTTTTTTTTCAAATATAAACTGAATTCTTGTTTGTCTTCTTTATTCGTAAAGAAATATAATTATTTTAATCAATACCCTTCCGATTGCATTTGTAAACTTTGAATATGCCTGGAGATCTTTGATATCCATCCAATGGATTGGACCGTCTTTCATCTAGCATCAGTAATGATTCAATTTTTGTGATTTCTTATATATTTTATTTTGGTTCAATTTGTGCAGGGCTGGTTCTGACTTTTTCTTGGCCGTGGCAAAATTAAAAAAAAATAGGCTCTAATTTAAAAGAATATTAAAAAAATATGCAATATAAAATTTTAATTAATTTTTTATTAAATTAAATAAATATTAATTCATTATAATATCAAAAATGTCAAAAACATATTTAAACATATAAATACTTATAAAAAATATTGCATTCGAGCATTTTAATAATATCTTCAATGACCACAATTGATGATAAGTAATTGTGATTTTGTATTTGTAAATTGTGATAAATATGAGAAAATGAAAATTGAGAACAATAAGAAATAAGTTAATTTTACTTCAATGTTCTCCTATCATTTATAAGAAATAAAAAGTAAACGTTATAGTTTTTAACGTTATGATGAGAATGTCCAATTTAAACGTTTAAAAATTTTAAATTAAACTAGCATTAATGTACATTAATATTTATGGGCCTTGCATTAATGTAAGAAAATATTATATTAATATTTATGGACTCTATTTTTAATTTAATTTATTAAAATATGATAAATTAATATAAATTAAAATTATAGGCCCGGGCGGGTGCCCCTCTTTCCCTGCCCAGAGCCGGCCCTGAATTGGTGGATGTATTTTGGTAATTAGGATGGGCCTTGATAACAACACGGTACTCGTATATTTCGAATCTCGAATCAGATCTTTGTAGAAGATATAGGAACTGGATCAAGGACAAACCATAGGAAGTTGTCTGCAAAAGAAGTTGAACTGTAGTTAAACAGTGGTAATGGGCATAGGATCAAGGTATGTTCACAGTTCAACTTCGACGATTCTTCTACAACTCCAAAAGTCTTTATTGGCAGCAGAAATAATGCCACACACTTGTTTTTAGCACCAAAATCACTGTAAAAAAGCTGTTTTTTCACCCCAAATAAAAATAATTTATAAGACTGCCGACACATAAATGCTTTTGAGGGAAAAAAAATGAAAACTTGTTTAAATTTTATATTATTTTCTTAACTTGTATAACAAAATTGCATCGTGTGTTTTGAGTAACTGCGATTAGGTGGAATATGAGAGTAAATGTTGTTTGTCATTGTTCTGTTTGCATTCTGTTTCTATGACAGCAGATGTGACAAATAATGCGCCAATATGTGTGAAATAAGGAGACGCTTCCTGTTTCTAATGCTTCTGGTATTGTTGCAATGCAAAATAGTAAGAGGCAGAATGATGAACCCTCATATTCCCTATAAAGGTGTAGGCTTTGAATAATCTTTCAAAATCCACAAGGTCTTGCAAGTAAGGTAAGGGACACAAGGGTAAATGTGTTGAAGAACGGTAGGAAGTTTTGTTGGATAGTCATCAGAGTTGTCATTGCTTTGGATTTTGGAGACGTGGAAGAGGAGAACTAAAATGATAAGATATTAAAAAGCTGATAATTATTTTTTAGAACTAAAATCAAATTAAAGTAAATTATAAATATTGAAAATTAAATTTATTATCATGTTAATTAACCGTTATGTAATCTGTTATTGATTTTTTAAAATTATTTATTTATTTTTTAAATCAACTGATCATCCTATAAGAAAAAGATTATTTTCATAATTTACCCTCTTTTTTATCATTTGTTTGTCATAATCATAAATGTGATATATTTATAAGTATTAAGATTTTGACACGTATATTAATGTTTAAAATTGCACGTCTAAGGCTGGCATAGTGGACTTTTTTCAATCAAATTTGTCAAAATATGTTCGAATTAGAACGATAAAAAAATAATCCCTTTAACCATATAAAGTAAAATTAAGTAATTGTTTACATTCTTTGATTCTCCACTGTCCACTCCATCAAAAGCCAAAATGAATTGAGCTCAATAAAATTCCCTCTATTTTCTTTTCGATTCCATTTCATTTCCGCTTTTTACCTTACAATTCACTTATACTTCTCTACAATTCATTCCTCCTCCATTGATCTCACACCATCTTACTATTTTTGCTACGGTTTGGTTTCCTTTGATCTTTTTTGATTATTTTTTTATTTTTGGTACATATATCGGAGGAGGAAAGGGGAAAAAGCAGCAGCAGAAGGGAAATGGAATCTGATGATGATTTCTATATGAACGGCGCCAACGAATCGGGGGAAGATGATTTCTACAGTGAAGGCGACGATGATGCTGGGGCCATGGCTACCTACGATGATGATTCCGATGCCGATGACGCTGGCTACGAGTTCATCGGCCACGATTCTGATGATTCCGTTGATTTTACCTCTCATAGTCACCGGGTATTTGTTCTTCTTTTTTCCTCCTTTGGATTTCACTTTATTCGCTTAGAATTTTTCCTTTAGAATTTCAAGCTCATGACTTTTTTTCAGTATTGATTTTGTGGGTTATGTTGCTATTTGTTGATGCGAGTTGCTTTTGGTTAAACATGGTTGTCAAATGTATAAATATTTCGTACAAATTTGAAAGTTTCTAATTTCATTCAAATTATTCATCTTTTTCGGCATGTGATTATTGAACTGCATTTGCAAACATTGGTCATCTTAATATGCTTAATTTTGGTTTTGTTTTTCAAGATTTGAAAATGTACACAAGAGTTTGAAGTTTTTTGGTTTCGCAAATATAAATTTTACTAGATATTGAACTGTTGAATACTTATATTATCAATTACGTGCAGCGCTAAGTATGTTAGCGGATGGAAATGGATCGTATTATATTGCAAAGATTACTACATGGAAAGGAAATTAAATTAGATAGCGGAATAAAATGATTACATAACCCGTTGGTTCAGTAAAATTTCCATGGGCCACTTGAATTGTTTTCCTCGAACATCTTGAATTTTAGTTTCTTTAGGTGTTGAATGACCATATCAAAGTTCTAAGTCAAAGACGCATGTCAAGTCTCTACTCCAAAATCATTTTACTTTTGGATAGAACTTTATGACATTTCTTTGCTACTTGCTAATGGGTATTAGATGCTTTTTTCAGATAGGAAAAAAAAAGTACCTTTTTTTCCCTTATTCATTGCACCCTAGGTAATGCTTACGCTTTACAATTTAGTGTTAAACATAATGAAAAAAATGCAATCATGCTGGGTGTCATTTCTTAATACAAGTTGAAATCCAACATGCAGATGCTCATTACCTGCTTTATTTGTTAAACTGGTTAACTGCCTGACCCTTTTCTTTATCCGTATTTGTGCTGATCAACTGTTAGCATTGATGGAATATCTTGACATTCTACAGTGAATGTCTGTAAAACCTTACTTTTTTCTCTAATGTTACATAGTTACCGGCACAACTGAATGTCTAAGACTGAAACACTTTTTCTTTGAGGATTTTGTAATTAATGTGTTTTACATAAGTCATAGGTTCTTTTTATTTGCACTGCATGCATTCATTCCTTTTGCTATAGGACTGAATATTAACACTGGTTTTCACTACAAGCTTTTAACATTTTTCGTCCTTTTGTACATAAAAGTTGCGTATTTTGAGCCCTGTTCTGTTAATCATTTCTTTTGAAGCTGACTATCCTAAATATGTTTCTTCTTTTCTTAGCAAAATTATACCATTTTGAGTGAAGTAGATATTCGTCAACGTCAAGAGGATGACATCACTAGGATATCTACTGTGCTTTCCATCTCAGAGGCTGAAGCAGGCATTCTACTATGCCATTATAATTGGTGAGTGATCACTATTGGTATAATTTCTGTATTTCATATACTCTTCATTCTGTTCCTTCCGAAATATGTAGAGCTTTTCACTGGTTGAAAATTTATTTTTAAGGATTATTATTGGTACACTGGCACATGTTCTTATTATTCTTTTTCCAAATAAAAGATAAATAAGTGTAATATGTGGTATTTTTTAAACCCCTTTGTGGAGTTAATTCCATTTGTATAGGATAATAATCCTATTTTTAATGGACCTAAAACTGCAGCAATGTAAATGCAGAGTGAAGATTAGAATTTTGTCAGTGTTTTGGTTACTATGCATATATTTTTGCTATATCTTGACGATGATAAATTTGTGTGTCTTGATGTTGTTAGTGATTTATGTTTATTTTGGACTTGCAGGAACGTCAGTAAAATACATGACGAATGGTTTGCAGATGAGGAAAAGGTTCGCTGGTCTGTTGGCTTATTGGATAAGCGTGCAGTCCCATTTCCTGATGGTAGCGAAGTAAGTGATGCAAACCCGAATGAGAGTTAACTTTTAGTTTATGAGCCAGGAGTTTCAGTGCGTGTTTGCTACATGTTCTTGGACAGTTTTTTTTTTTTCACATCACTTATTTTGGCAGATGACTTGTGGGATATGTTTTGATAACTATCCTTGTGATCTGCTTCATGCCGCTGCATGTGATCATCCTTTTTGTAACTCTTGCTGGTCAGGTCAGTTGAGAGAGAGCCACAACTTTTATTTTCATATCATGGTTCTTAAAAGTTCCTTGCTTGTTTCATGTTAATGTCTGCTATTCTTAGAGCGTCATTCGTTTGATTGTTGTTTCTTTTTTTGTGGCAACCAACCACATCCCTTTGCTGTGATAATCTGAACTGTTAGTAATTTTGGTTTGGATTGATTGCTTTGTCCCGACAGCCTACTTGAGGCCAGAGTTAAATTACCAGATGATGTCAATGACATTAATATCATGCCTAGTATGTAAAGGAAGATAATTTATTGGAAATAAAACATTTAACTTAGGAGTTAGGACCAGTAATTTCTACTCTTTGCCTGGTTCTTTCCACCTTTTTTTTATAAGAAAGGGAAGTCTCATTAAAACCCCTCTTCATAACCGTCGAAATGCAACAAAGTATCTCAACGGACATTAGAAGGAGGAAAAGAGTACCTCAGAAATTTTATTACCAATCAATATAATATCAAAGATACAAAGAAACAGACAGTGCATATACAACCATAACCAAAAGAAATTACCTCCTACAGAAAAACTAGAAAAAACAAAAAGCATTAACCAATTCCTAGTTTCACTAACTCATCTGCCTCCCAATTCACACATCTCAGAATATGCCTTACAATAATATTCCTCAATCACTCTTCAAGATGAGGCGCCCCCTCAGCCCCAAACAGACTCCATAAAGAACCGTAAGCCCGATTTAATTGCCAGTAGCTCAGCCATAATAGGAGGACCTGACCCTACACTTTCAGAGAAAGTCCCCAACACAGAACCATCTGCATCCCGAAGTAAACCACCAATACCCCCTTTAATCCATTGTTTATCCATTGCGCCGTCAACGTTAACTTTGAAGAAATCCGGAGGAGGAGGACACCACGAGGAGGAGGAGGAGGGCACCTTCAGGCAACTTGACCAGGAATCAGCCAAGGAAGGGTCCCCCACGAGACAGTAAAAAGGAATAGAGAAGTTAGGAAATTTTGCAGAGAACCACACTGACAACCTATATTTTGTTAAGAAGAAAAGATGAGTAGAGTCTAACTTCCTTTTCTCAAAGATAATCTCATTCCTATATTTCCAGACCGACCAGTAAGTTCAGTGAAAGAAAGCTTGCTTCTAGGTTTTGGGAGAAAAAAAAACTTTATTTATCTTCAACTGTATAATGTTTTTTTTTATAAGAAAAAAAACATTATACAGTTGAAGATAAATAAAGTTTTCTTTTCTCCCAAAACCTAGAAGCATGCTTTCTTTCACTGAATAATGTAGTTTACTTCTTCCCCCCAGTGGAATATAATCAAAGTTCCATGTTTTCTCAAGCTCCTTATGGACTGCTTAACTAGCAAAGATAAGGTATGCTTCTAGTTGGATGCAATTCTAATTATTTTGTTAGCATCTCCAAGTCCTGGGTGTTTATGAAATTTGTTCTGCTGTTCCATTCATCTCTAAGTCAGTTTTGTTGTATCTGGTTGTTTACGGGTGTCTTGTGTCTTTCTGTTTTTGAAGGGGGTGTTTCTCCGGATGTATCTTATGTAATTTCAGTTGTTGAATGAAATTCTAAGGCACTCTTTTCCTCCTTACACTGATTAAAGAGCTTCCCTACAAGCTCTTGTAATCAAGAAGAGGGGGTTTTAACGAGACCTTCAATTCTTATCAAAAAAATTCTGAAGCTAATTTCCTTGTTTCATTAACCTTTTTTTCTTCTGTTCCCATCAAAGATGCTACTTTAGGCATTTGGCTGATAGAATAGAATTTTTGGTTGATTCTATAAATACCATTATTTTAGCTGATGCCTTAGCTAAAGAAGGAATTGGTTGATTAAATGTTGATGTATATGGGTCACAAGGTTGCCTTGTGTTTACCTGCCTGTGTTTAGTGCACTTAGGGTGCGTTTGGTTCACGGAATGTAAGATTACCAGTGGGAATAAAAGATTACCAGGGAATAGGATTACTGGGAATGTTGTATTTTGTGTTTGGTTGGTTTAGCAGGAATGTAATATTACCGTGTTTGGTTGAAGGAATAAAAGATTATTGGAATGTATATTTGACCAAATTGTCTTTATTATATATTTGTATAATATTACAAATTGTAAAATATTTATATATTTTCTTTAAAAAATTAAATTCATAATATTTATATAATTTTTTTTACAAAATTAAAAATATAAAAAATGTTTAATGAAAGGGTAAAATTTTTTTAACCCCTGAACTTCATATAAAATTTTAATTATAGACTTTTTTTTGTAAATCTAAAATAATTTAAGGATAAATTTGTAATTTAACATTCGTAGAATTTTTATTATTCAATGACAGAAGAAGGATATTTTTGAAAAAAAATAAAAATTTAAGGGCATTTTAGTCCAAAACGCCGGTAATGTTACAATACCTAAGGGAAGGGAGGTAATGACATTCCCGGTAATATACCCCAAAAAATCTACTATTGGTAATAAAATATTATCGGGAATGAGATTCCCGGCCAACCAAACATGGGAATGTGGGATTCCCACAATCCTTGAACCAAACACCCCCTTATAGTAATATATCTTATGTATATTTTTGTTATGTTCAATAAAATCCTAAGGCACTCTTTTCCTCCTTCCACTGATTAAGGAGCTTACCTACAAGCACCTTTAATCAAGAAGGAGGTTTTTAACGAGGCCTGAAATTCTTATAAAAAAAAAAACCTCTCAAATGATTTTGGGATTTTGAATCTAGGACTGTGTCAATTACACTCCAGAATCTGTGGGTTCGCTCAGTTGCATAACAATGGGATTTCCTTATTGATTAATCTGGTTCTTACTGTTATATTGGAAGTTGGCAACATGTTCCAAACAAGTAGACAGGTTCCCTTAGTGCTCTCTGTTTGTAATAATGACTTTTCCCCTCTATTGCTCATTCTTTTTACTTGGATTGATTTAAATCATTCCCAACAATGTGATTTTTTGATCTATATTCAAGCTTTGTCACAAGGGGATGGTTATTTGATAATTTACATGAGGAACTGGTAAAAGTATTTTGAAGAAAGAAACATCAGAAAACTCTTGCAAGTGATTATCAATATAAGAGTTCCGCCATCAATATTGCAACCATCAATATTGGTGCCTACTGATTTTAGGGGACGCATGCATCTAGAAATTTTATGGAAATTAGACCATTGATATAATTAAGCTGCTGGTTCCTGTTGCTGTTATACCATGTATATTGTATATTTTATACAAATGAACATTTTACATAATTTGGTATAAGAAAGATCAACAATGTTGGTCACTATGTAGAGTTATGTTCTATTATTAATGCTGCTATATAAGCTTATGCCCTAATGTACCCTTTTCCTTTCTAATTTTCAGTTTCAGAATTGTTTTGAGAGCTGTTGGTTAGATTTGGGAGTTTTTGTCTTAAAGCATTGAGTTCTCATATCTAAGCTGTCTGGGAAGGGGTAAAGGGCTTGTACTTTTAAAAATTATTGTTTGCATGATTATCTACATTGTAGATTAGTTTCTATGATTTTAAGCTCAATGGTTAACCAGGATATTGTGCAGATATTTTAAAAATTATTGTTTGGTGAAGGAAATGGCTTACCTCTCAATGATTTTTTCCCGTCTGAGAGTTATTTGCTAATATTTTAACTTTTGTGTGTTTACTAACCTTTCCATATGTTATGCATGTGGGATTTTCTTATATAGTTGTGATATATATATATAATCTTTTCCTTGTTTAGGCTATATTAGCACAGCCATTAATGATGGTCCTGGATGTTTGATGTTGCGATGTCCTGATCCATCCTGTGCTGCTGTTGTTGGTCAAGATATGATAAATGCATTGGCTTCTGCTGAAGACAGAGAGAAGTATTCTCGTTATTTCATTAGATCTTATGTTGAAGACAATAGGAAGGTAATACTTAAATGTTTTGAGTAATAGGACTTATTGCCCATGAGTAGAGCATTTTATGTGTGCATTTACTTTCCCTTTGCAAAAGGATTTCTCAGAATTGCCTACTTATATATATGCATATAAATTTTTTTATTCTTTTTCATTTATGCTATTTGGGTTGAAGGACGAGCTGCCACTGCATTGGGAGTGCAGTTGTAAGATTCTGTATTTTGGCTTTTAGTTCCCTATGGTTAGTATCTAATTGGCAATTAATTGAAAATTGGTTGTGCGCTTTAGCAGTTTTGCATAAAAAAGATATTAACCACATTTTCTTATTTCTGCTCTAGCTTATATAAAAACAAAAAACACATTTGTCATCCAGCTTACTGGTTTTTATAATTCTTTTTTCTCAACAAAATTTTTTATATGTATATACACACGCACACACTTTTGAACAAAAACACGGAGGTAGTTTTGAAAACCACCCAGCAATTGAATTTGTGTATAGTCACTTGTAATTACAATGGCAACCCAAGTCCACTTTCCAATTCTTGTAGGGTTTGGAATGGGGGAATTATGCGAGTAATTAACCATAATGACTGAAAACATTTTTATTCAAATTCCAATTAGTGGGTCCCCTTGAGTTGTTACACGTCAACCAAAGATGTCTTGGGAATTAGTTCCTTGTAATTACTAGGTTTTCATAACTATTTCCCTCTCTTTTGCATCTTTGTTAAGATTGTATGAAAATATTGCTAATATTTCTCTCTGTGTAGCTTCATAAATAGGTTTTCCTCAAGCTTGTCATGGATTAGAACCATGAATGTATCGATTATGTTCCTTTTCAGTTTTTACTATATTTCTTCAATATATATTCTGCGCTAAAATCACTGATAAGAACAGACGTATAGCTTTTTTTTTCTCCATTATTTCATGTTTGCCTTCTTGGTATCAATAACATTTCGATTCTTTTGTGTTATTTTGCAGACCAAATGGTGTCCTGCACCTGGGTGTGATTACGCCGTGGATTTTAATTTTGATAGTGGAAACTATGATGTCACGTGTCACTGCTCATATAGCTTTTGTTGGAATGTAAGATCCTTTGGTGCTGTTTCTATTTAGAGTACTTCTAACAATTCATGCGTATGGCTTCCTGCTTCATTCTTCTTTCATTTTTTAAGTTGCAATCAGGAATTTTGACCCATAATGTAATTTTGACTTTGCAGTGCTCTGAAGAAGCTCACCGTCCTGTTGATTGTGAAACTGTTGCCAAGTGGATACTGAAAAACAGTGCTGAGTCTGAAAATATGAATTGGTATGGAACAGGATTATAGTAACTTTTCTTATTCTAATGCGTTAGATTGTTTAATTCATACCAAATAGAGGGGTTGCTAGTTTAGTGCTGAATAGCCCACCTAACAGAAGCAATTTTCTTATTCTCACTTCCCCCTCTGCTGAGCTTAAATGTGGACTCTATCTTGATAAGTAATGTAATGTTTATGGTTGTACATTATCATTTTTGCATTATGAATTGAACTATTTTGCTATTAAATGAATTAGTGAAATAAATATTCCTCATTTATATGTCTATACAAAAATGTTATGTTACTCTGACCCTTAATTTTTTCTTAAAGTATTCATGTATGATACAAGTGTCTGACCCATATTCAAATATGGGCATAGGGATATGTCCTTCCAAAGATCTTCTTCGATAATTTCTTTCTTAAAATAAGTTTCCTTTTCGTTCTCCCCTTCTACAAATGGACTTGTTTGTGATTGTCCAATTACTAAAATAGTTGTTCTGCATTATATATTATACAATGCTTTATTTTCAAAGTGTTCTGTTTCTCAATAAATTTTCCTGTTTTAATCTTCAGGATATTGGCTAATTCCAAGCCTTGTCCTAAATGCAAGCGCCCAATTGAGAAGAACCACGGGTGTATGCATATGACATGCACACCACCATGTAAATTTGAATTTTGCTGGTGAGCTTATACTTCATACATGTGCATTGCATGTATTTTGATTGAAGTCTGTCCTCACTACCTTATTTGTCTTTGTTTGTCCCCCCTTTTATTCCAAATGCAAACATATATAAATAATTCTGCTAAGGTTGCCTACTTTCTTTAGCTATATGATCTACTCAACTAGGGGCAATTTTCCTAAACTTTACTAAAAAGATTTTGTGCCAAAAACAAATTTATATATTTGTACTCTTTTTATGTGCTTACTGTTTGTTTTCTCTCTTTTGTGTAAAAGTTTCTGTCAGTTGACCACTTATATATGCAGGCTTTGCCTTGGTGCATGGACAGATCATGGTGAGGTAACTGGTGGTTATTATGCTTGCAACCGTTACGAGACAGCAAAAAAAGAGGGCACGGTATGAAAAGCAATTCCTTATTCTTGCAGTCAACATTTCCCAGTTCTTGTCATTATTCATTGCACATCATTATTTAGCTGCCCTCTTTTTATGTTTTTCTGATCAATGCTATTTATTTACAGTTTGATGAAGAGGAGAAACGAAGAGAGTTGGCTAAATTATCTGTAGAGAAATACACTCATTATTATGAACGATGGGCAACCAACCAATTAGTATGTATTAGTTTGTAGAATTTGTAGCATTTATTGGCCCATTTCTTCTGATTGCTTAATATTTTTTTTTCTGGGAATACTTTGTGGATGATATGCCACTATATACTTGAATGAGAAACCATGTGTCTTACTTGTTAAAACTTCTCTCGACTTATGCAGTCTAGGCAAAAGGCAATGGCTGATCTACAGCAAATGCAGTCCGTGCATGTAAGTCAAACTTCTTAAAGTTACTGACTTCCTATTTGTCGATGCTGGTCTCTTCAATTATTTTTGCACCATTTATTGTGGATGTCATGGAAATGGGTTTGAAGACTATTAAATGCTCTGTATAAGTTTATAACCTATCACCACTGGTTTTAATCTGTTTCTATTCAACAGATTTGCATGTTCTTGTCATCTGAGTTTTATCTATTGAATCTGCTAAGTTTGGCAGTATCACTTGTTTTGAAATGTCAAGATTTGTGTAACCAATGGAACCTTTAATTGGATTTTTAAATGCCTTTATCGTGAAAATGAGGTCACTATGTTGCACATTATTTTTGTTCTGCAATTATAATATTCTGTTATTGTTGAAGCATTTCGCGTTTGTGGAAAATTCATCTCTTCCCGAAAGACATGTATAATAAGACGTGCAACTGCCAAAGACCTTCCCTTTCCTGTTTTTGTGGGAGTGCACTTTGTCTACTTCTTTAGAGTTTGGCGAGACATTCTCAGCCACCCCCAATCTCCATCATTTTGGCTACCTCTCCTCTAGGTTTCAATCTCCCCTGCCAAAAAAAATTAAATAAATTGCAATATAAAATTCACTAATAACACATGGATTTTTGTTCCCTCCCACTTGGTGTTTTATCTTGATTCAGATTACAATTATTATTATTATTTTAGTTTATGGGAACTGCTGACATGTAAATGTAGCTCGAGAAGTTGAGTGAGATACTGTGTCAACCTGAATCACAGCTGAAGTTCATCATTGAGGCATGGCTACAGGTAAATTTCAAACTTTTCGTAGTCCCTAGCTACATGCTTTAGCTCATTGTAGCTGCTCTGCTTGTGTAGATAATAGAATGTAGGAGAGTCCTGAAGTGGACTTATGCTTACGGATTTTATTTACCTGAAGAGGAACATACTAAAAGGCACTTCTTTGAATACCTACAGGGTAATGTGGCTCCATCTATTGCTATAATATAAGCTATAGCTTTATATTCCTGTTCAGTATGCACCAATTGCTCGTATGGCTTGCAGGCGAGGCTGAGTCTGGGTTAGAACGACTTCATCGATGTGCAGAGAAGGAGCTTCAGGTCTACCTCAATGCAGAGGCACCATTAAAAGATTTTAACGAGTTTCGCTCAAAACTTGCTGGATTGACCAGGTAATATTCATTTTAATATTAAGTAGAGTTTGATAAGCTTAACATGAAGTTTTATTGAAGAAATTGTTTGGTTGGTTTGTCATGGAATTAAGCTATTGTGTTGGAAGGATATGGTTATCTTTTTTCTTTTCTTTTTTTGTATATTACATTTCTGATTCACGGTCCATGTTTGGGGATGCAAAGATGATGCTTTTATTTAACTTTCTAATGAAGTGTTTTATCGTACTCTTATGCATCTTTGAGAGAATTGGTATGCGTTTTTTCTTCTAATTAATTGTTTGAATTTTGTGACAACAGCGTGACACGAACTTTCTTTGAGAATTTAGTTCGAGCTCTAGAAAATGGCCTATCAGATGTGAACTCTCGTGGAGCCTGCAGTAGGATGGGGAGTTCAAAGGGCTTGGGAGGTGGTAGCAACAGTAGGGGAAGAAGTTGGAAGGGCAAAGCTTCAACCCATAGATCCAGCTGCTCTAACAGAAATAATGAAGATTCTGGCCATTGATCTTGTGAATATTCTACGCCAAATTTGCCGGCAGCAGGCACCTACAGAGAATTGGCATCAACATTCCGTCTCAAACGTTGATGTCCGTTTGCCAAGGCATAGGGCTTTTGGCATTGCCAGAGGAGAGGATGAGGAAAAAAGGGGGGGGGGGTCAGCACATCACAAGGAGAAGCAACATCGAGAAGCCGATGATGCTTGGAGGAAGAGAGTTCACTGTATATCTATATTTTGCCTATGTGAACCTGTATATAAATAGTTCCTCTCCATGTTTAACTGTACGCTGAAACCTTGATGCATGTAGCTGCCGTCTCCCCAATGTATTCATATGTAATTTATACTTTATTAAAAGAGAAAATCGCCTCAGTGATCAAAAATGTCTTATAATATACGATTTTAACCAACTTTTTCCGGATTTGTCAAAATGACCAACAAAATCGTAATGCGATCGCTAATTCGCAACGCGATCTCCATTATCGCAAATTCGCGTTGCGATGGTCTACAATGTCGTTGCGATTTTCCTAATTCGCAATGCGAATAAGTAAATCGCAACGCGAATTGGGAAAATCGCAATGCGATACTGACTATTGCAATGCGATACTTACTATCGCAATGCGATAATACAAAATCACAACGAGATACTGATTTTCGCAACGCGATTTACATAGCGCCATTCGTATTAACGCGTATTTTTTTTTTCAAATTTCAAACACGAATTTTTTCTTAATAAATCGGAAACTGAATCGTCCACAGTAATCGCAACTCATAACCTCAAACCCAAAATCACAACACTCAGTCCCATCTCCATCTCTCACTCTCTACGGCGAAATCCGTCCCCATCTCCGAAGATTTCTGTCCCCATCGCCGGCGAAATCCCTCACAACCATTCACAGTCAAAAATCCCTCACAATCATTCAGAAATGGAAAATCAACCTCCGATGGTTAGTTTTTTTTTTGTTGTTGAAATTTTTGCATTATTTTAGGTTTTTTCATATTGAGATTGATGATAAGTTTACTGGTAATTTCAATAATAGATTAACCATTTCACTTAGATTTCTTATTAAATTCATTGGATTGCTGCCAATACTGCTAAACTGTTTAGCCTGTGAAGTTAGTATTTGTCTTTGTTTTGTCTTTTGGTTGAAGTAATGCAGAAGAAGAATAGTTTCGAGAATGAAAATCGCAACGCGGAAATAACTATCGCAACGAGAGAATCGCAACGCGAAATAAAAAACGCAACACGAAACCAAAATCGCATTGCGATTTTCATTTCGCGTTGCGATTTTCATTTCGCGTTGCGATTCTCTCGTTGCGATTTTCATTTCGCGTTGCGATTCTCTCGTTGCGATAGTCATTTCGCGTTGCGATTCTCATTATCTCGTTGCGATTTTCATTTCAACCAAAAGACAAAACAGTGTTGCAAATTTTAGTTTCAAGAATAAACTACTATTTATGTTTATTGTTTTTGGTATATCTTGACAGTGTAGTTTTTGGTATATCTAACTTGGTATGTTTATTGTTTTTGTAGAAATTTTTTTCGGCTTCATTGACATTAAGGAATAAAGTTAGCCTAGCCACTACAATTGCTTCGAAGCTTTCACCTGCACAAAGAAAATTGTTTGAGGAAACCTGCTTCGGGCCATGGCTGAGAGTACAACATCCGGGTGGAGATGCTAATTTGACCCATTTGTGGCTTCAGACCATGACTAGAGATCTACCCGACAGTATACAACGTGGTGAGGAAGAGATATTGTTTCATTTTCCACCTGCGTATACTTGTTTTGGGCGGAAGGAGTTATGCTTAATCACTGGTCTACGATTCGGACACGATGATGTAGGCCGGTACACTCGTCATATCACCCGCCCATCATGGTTATCCAGGTTTTTTGATGAGTCAATAGAGAAGCCGAACTTACACGTCGACGACATGAAGAAATTGTTTAATAAGAAAGATGGTTTTACTCGGATGAATGACGTCGATGTTGTCCGAGTATGCCTTCTACTACTTTTGTATGCCAGCTTTTTAGGCAGAGAGGCCAGACAACCTATTCCTCAGGAGCTAATATTATTGGTAGATGACCTAAATGCATGGAATCTGTTTCCGTGGGGTTCGTATATATGGAAAGCTACATGGACTAAGTTGTCGTCTGCCTTTGATGACCGTAAAAGTTTGCGGGGCGATGGGTCGAAATACACTTTGTCAGGCTTTGTTTGGGCCTTTAAGGTAAGAATTTCTATATAATGTTTTCAAAATTATAATTAATTATTTAACAATTACTAATGTTTGTTATTATATTGTTTGTAGATTTGGATATTCGAGTCCTTTCCCACCATGAAGACATATGCAATAAAAACTTCAAATAATATTCCTAGGGCTATTTCCTGGAAGAGGAAACGTCTGTTGGATTGGGAAGACTTAATACCATATGCGACAATAAATAATGTAAGTTAACACAAATACTATCATATATAAACAAGTTATTAATAGTAGACGTTTAACTTTGTTTGAGTTTTTATATTTTAGGAGGCCAACATTCCATTAATGAGACTGACACCCACGGAGGCTGAGCTTGCCACTGATTGGTGGCAAGCTAGTCAGCGTTTTCTTGATGGCACGAATGATGAGCAGCCTCTACTTCCTCCACTTCGAGAGCCATCACCTCACCCAGAGCCATCACCTGATCGACCCGACTATACACCTCTACAACGAGAGCCATCACCTATCCCGTCACATCATCGAGCCTCTTCTCCACCATCACCTCATGATAGGCGACCGATAAAGATGCCACGACTTCTATCTCCCTGTTCTCCACCTCCACGGGATGAGTCAAGGGAGTTACGTGATGAGGTCAATGCCTTGCGTGAGGAGATCGGTACTCTACGCGATAACGATGGTGCATGGTGTGTGGAGGTATCTACTTTACGTGGTGAGGTTGCCGCTCTAAGTGAGATGGTAGTATCGTTGCAGAATGAGGTTCATACTCTACGCAACGAGGTAAGTTTAAGATTTTCCATATTTAACTTGATGATAAATTTACTCGTAATTTCACTTAAATTAACCATTTCACTTAGATTGCTTAGTAAATTTATTCGGTTGCTGCCAATACTGCTAAACTGTTTATTAACACTGTGAAGTTAGTATTTGTCTTTTTGTTTTGTCTTTTGGTTGAAGTAAATTTATTCGGTTGCTGCCAATTCTGCTAAACTGTGTATTCTTTAACATTGTGAAGTTAGTATTTGTCTTTGTTTTGTCTTTTGGTTGAAGTTTTGAAATATATTTGTCTTTGTTTTCACTGTTTAAATATCATGTCCGTTTATTTACTGATATTTGTATTTAATTATTTAGCGGACCGATAAGGTGGATGCTTTACGTCGGGTTTTTCTTGCACGACAGAGTTCACACATCAGACGGCGTGCACGTGCTATTAAGTCTCCGTATACCCCAATAGTGCGAAGACACCGCAAGAAGAAGCCCGACTCGCCTGTCATCCCTCAAGAGTCCACTCCTATCGTTGAAGAGGCCCCTATCATTCATCGAGAGTCCCCTCCCACCGTTCAAGAGGCCACTGTCATCCCTCAAGAGTCCACTCCTATCATTGGAGAGGCCCCTATCATTCCTCGAGAGTCCCCTCCCACCATTCAAGAGGCCACTGTCATCGTTGAAGAGGTTCCTCCCACCATTCAAGAGCCCGATTCACATGACGTCATATGTAGGATTCTTGAGAAACCCTCTGACGTGCTGGACATGATGGATTCAAGTTGGCTCTCGTATGAGTTACCGGCCAGTACCATACCGGTATCTGAAGTGGAGAGGGAACAACTACCGGACACAATTCTGGATAACACCCTTTGGGTTAAGACCGCAATTGATTTTTATCTACATGAGCGAAGCCAGGGGTGTTTCACTGACATATGCAAGCTCAATGATGATATCTATTTGTTGCTTGATCGGTCTTGGTGGGGCGTATTATTAGGGGTCGAAGACAATGGCTATTTCGATGGAGAGGTAAGTCTTATATTTTTCTTATATTTTAATTTGATTATTTTTTTGTAAATTTATGTAAGTTACTAATATATGTCTTTTTTTGTAAAACAGCATATCGATGTGTGGGTGTCACGTCTTCTAATAATTAGGAAACTTAAGAAAAATAAAAGAAATACACGATATACAATTATACCGACGTCTTTTAACGTCGTTCACTTGAAGAATCAACGAGATGAATCATTTGCGTTGGGCAATGGACAAGCTAAACTTTATCCTGCATGGTGGGAGGTCGATATGGTTAGTGTTTATATTAGATTGAGTTTAAAGGTATTCATAAATAAGTGCGCAAATGAATGAATTATTACTTATGATTGCAGGTGTTTATCCCTGTTTTGGAACGTAACCATTAGCTTCTCGTCGAGCTTCAGATCCCATCCCTTAAGGCAATAGTATATGACAACATGATAAATTACATATCATTGGCTGATTTAAGAGATATTATTAAGGGATGGAGCTCTTATTTGGCTAAATTCTTGGATGCGATAAATTATTGGACTCGTTCTGGAAACAAGAAGCCAAAGAAGCTCAATGTTACAGTTAGCAGAGACGAGACCGTACCACAACAAACGAAAGGACCCAGAGGGGATTGTGGTCCTCTCGTATGCTTGGCGTTGGACCGTTTGATCACAGGAAGTATAAAGTATCTACCTCCCACCGATATAGATAGAGCTGCAGTAGGCTTGTGGTTTCGACATTATATGGCTAGATCGATATATACGAGACGCTGCCTACCTGCATCCGCATTATAAAATGTCCATAAACAATTGGTATGTTATAGGCTTGTGGTTTGAAAATGTTTGGTTAAGTACCTAGAATTCAATAATTTGCTGTTTGTAGGTTTTAGATGTGTAGAAAGTGTTGTTTGAGCAAATGTTTGGTTTATGCAGGTTAATCTCATAAGTGAGCTGCGTGAAAATGATGTATGGCTGCAAAAGTTGATTCAATAGTAGAAGTGTTATTTTCTCTAATAATTATTGCTTATTTTTTGATTGTTTAATTGATTTGTAAAAGTGATTTGTAAAAGTTAATTTGTTTAATTGATGTTAACATAATTCTTATTTGTGCTTGTTTAATTGATTGAAATGTAATTGTTGATTTTGTTGA